GTCATCGAAGTTGGAGAAGTCTTTACTGCAACCTATTCAATATCTTGTCCATTTGGGTGTTTTTCTTTTTCTACACTCACCTCAGTTGGGCCCACCTTTCTTCTCTTTGACTTCGTTTGATGGGTTTTCAGTTTGATTAAAGCACATGAAGTTATATCACTTTTGGGGATGTGATCTTCTATGGTAGCCTTTGCCTTACAGGTCAGGCCCTTTCATGGGCTTTTCACAACCATTGGAATTTCACAGGGATCCTTTGTCAGCTCTTATTACCCTTCCTCGTACCCTTGTAATCGATCGTCCTATGTGGTTAGATATGACTTGCATGTTGGCAGGTAACCTGCTTCTTCCTTTCATCTGGTTTTCCACATTTCATGGACACATTCCTTCAGGGATGGGCAACGTGGATTGGTCAACTGGAAGATTCGAGGTTTTTTGTCTGTAGCCAAGAGGTCTTATCTTATCAACATCCTGGAGCTTCTCACTGTGGATCATGTTTTGGTTCATTTTCTCCATCTGGCCAGAAATCATCTGGTAATGATCCATTCCAACTTTTCTTCAGTGGTTGCTTATCTCAACCACCAGGGTGGCACCTGTTCTCCATCCCTCTTTATTCATATGTTGGAACTTCTTTTTGGGCCTACACACACTATATTCTTATCATTGCATGTCATGTTCTGGGTGGTTTTTGCTCTTGTTGTGGATTTGATTCCTGTCCTGATAAAACTTATCCAATAGAATGGCCTTTCGATCCTTTTGTTTTCCAGTGGCTTTGACTTCACTGGGGTACTCCTCACCTTTACTATGTCCCTTAACCACAAATTGCCTTGGCTTTGGTCTCCAGTCTTTCGTCGTCTTGCTCTTGCTATCGATGTTTTCAACCAGGATTAGACCTACACATTTGTCTATCCTCCTGTTCTCTTTCTTCTCCTGGTGATTTCATTCATCCTTGACACTATGTGTTCAGTTCTTCTGATAGCTATTTCCTGGCCATCTCAGCTGTAGTTTCCACAGTCTCTCCACTCCAACTTCCTCCTCCATTACCTTTTCCTCTGTCTCCTTTGTTCTGAGTGTCTTCTCACCCAATTCTACATCTTACCTTTTCATTGGCATTTCATCTTCATTGTCCTTTGGAGGTATTTCTTCAATCAGACATGTGAACTACCCATGATACATTCATCTCTCACTATTTGCATCGGATCATGGTTTTTTTCCTCTACAGGTTAATGTCTTCCACCTCTAGCCATTGTAGAATATCAAAATTTGGTGAGACTTTGACTGGGTAAGTTTTTTCTCATTTTTTCCTTTTCAGGGGCCCTCTTCCCTTTTATTAATGTTCATTGTTTGGATCCTGCTCTGTGGTGAGTGGTGCCTTACCAGGTATTCTTTAACTGTTCAAATCCACAATGTCAAGCCACGTCGACTTGCATATTATAATTCCATGGCCATGCAACACACACTGCAGAGATGGGGTGTTCTACAAGATTGATTGTAGGTTTATCCTCATGATAGAATTGCTTCATAAGTTTGCCCATCCTTGTCATGCCTTGTATTAAGTAAATCGGTTTGGTCTGCTTTTAAAAATAGGGTTTCATGGTCACCCATTGAGCTGCCTCAGGTGTTGTTGTTCCTCCGTACTCTCCACTACATTTTACCCCCATTTTCTTTTAGTGGAGTTTGAGGGTCCTTACCACTTTCCAGTTCCAAGCCACTGGGGTGGTGGACTATGGAGGTTAATGAATGGGCTAATGAAATATGAACAAAATATAGAAATGATTCAGTTGAGAGTAGGGTGGAGGTGCTCTGCTGGTTATCTGCTGTGATATCCTCCAATATGAAACATAAAAACAAATGGGAATGAGACGTCAAAATTGCAGTTCACCCCTTTGACTAAGATCCATCATCCTACCCTCACATGGATGTCGGTTCCCAGTGGCCAGGTTTTAGAGTAGAACCAATCGGCATAAGTCCTCACACATGTATTACAGATGTCTGTATTTCTCCCTCATTTATACTCTATCAGTGTTGTGAGTCACAGTGGAAGTAATTGTATATTGTTACGGTTCTTTCCCTTCCACTATCCCTCGATGTTTATTATTCTGAGGATGTTAATGTGCTTAGGGTGGTTCCGATCAGTTTCCTGGATTGATCTATCAATTTATCATATTCACATGTGCCCCATTCATGAGTCAGAAGGTACAAGATTCCCTCCATTGTCATGAACTTGAGGTGAAGATGGTACGATCCTCTTTCCTACATCCACATGGATGTCAGTACCTGGTGGTCAGGTCTTGGATTGTAGTTCACTTACTGATGATATGATCTTCGTCTACCCCTGTGTGGATGTCGGTTCCCAGTGGCATGGGTTTTGGATGCAGTTGACTTGTCATGTATGATCTGTCATGCCCTAGCCACTCTACACCTAGGGGCACATCTTTTTCATTTTACCCACTTTTATAATTTCTGGGATTGAGTTCCATAAATATTGCTTGGTTTGGATCACTTTCTAGTCATAGTTCTCTCCCAGTTGGATGTGCTCCTCTGTTTTCCACCCATATATGCAACATCTTTTTATGATGGGAGAAGAGTATATGTGGTTCAGAAGTGGTGCGGTTCCCCAACTCAGATCTTAAAATATGACTGTCTCATCTTAAGGAGTGTCCTTCGGATGCTTCTTTCTTTCCCTCGCACCGGTCTCTCCACCTATTCAATGTGGGATTCTAGCTATTTATGTGAGAAGAGGTAACATACCGTATTGGAAGTTATAATTTTCCTACACTGAAAATGTATTTCCGATAAGTACTTATCTCCTATCACACTTACCACTCTTCCTCCACACTGAAAACATGCATCTTGAGAGTATGTCGCACTGTTATTAGTGGAGGCTTGACGCATGATGATTTGCATAAGACACACATTGGAATCAGTCATTTCTATTGAAGGGGAGATAGAAGGCTTGTGGCATGTATAAAAACGTTTTGCATATAGAGGGCAGCACTAAACAAGAATAGCTATTTATGTAAGAGGAGGCAAGTACCTATTGGAAATAAATTTTTAGTGGAGGAAGATTATAACTTTTAAAGAATCAGGTTGGTTCTGTAAAGTAAAGTTCTGTTCTGAATAATAGGTTTGTGATCCAAAGTCTAATGTTGGTTACTATCGAGTGTCACTTTCTTACTTGCTGTGGTTTGTTGGTGTATATTGACAAAAACTCGTGATGTCTAATCAAAAACACCTTAGCTAAGAAAAAAAAAAAGGTGGGACCAAAAAAGGATTGAGTGTGTGACTTAAAGGAATGAAATCAAAATTGGCAGCCGAACTGATAGCTACACTTACAGCATTGATATAATTTTACAACAAATATTCATTCAGTAGTTAGCTAGGCAGCAGATTTTGTTTTACCCACCATCATGCCCCAAGTTGAACAAAAAATGCAGCCTGGCTAACTATTGAATGAATGTTTGTTGTAAAATTCTTATGAGTGCTATAAGTGTAGCTATAGGTTTGGCTGCCAATGTTGATTTTATTTCTTTAAGTCACATGCTCAGTTTGTTGTTTTGGCTGCACCTTTTTTTTGCACACCTAAGGTGTTTTTGGTTAGATTATTATTAGCACTAGCTGTATTTATAATGAAAGTTTGAAATTAGTGGATATTTATATATAATAATAAAATGTGCTTTTAAGGAAAGTCTTTATGCTGGCTTGTGAAAATGAAAAATTGTTGATTTCTGACATACTAGAGCTTTGAATGGTTCAATTAGAATCTTTTTATTTTTTAATACTGCATTCAAGGTGCAGTAAAGAATGTGGTTAGAAATGTTTCTTATTTTAATATACATTGTAGTTGGCATCAAGATAAGAATTGTATCTTTCCAAATTTAGCTAAAGAATTCTATATGTAAATATGATAAAGTTTACTCTACAATCCTACCAGGGAAGGACAATATTAGAATTTTTTTTATTTTTCATAGTGGAGAAATGATTATGGTTTACAAAAAAAAAGCTTCCATTAATAATCTTAATATTAATCTTTTGATTAGAACTACCTATAATACTGAATTATTAGTGTTATGGAAATAAATATTGTTGAAAAGTTAGTCATAAACATTTTTTTTTCTGAATTAAGGAAACCTAAAGCATTTCATTGTCAAACAATATTAGATATCTCTTGTATATTGAAATAGAAAGAAAGTATATTGATTATGGATATGCCACACATAATAAGTGTTATATTTAAAAATTAAGACTTGAGAAGTTTGTGTACAAAGAGTGAAATAATATTTATATCAAAAGAAAGCATGCATGAAAAACAGCAAAAAAAGGGGCAATATTGATGTTTTTGTGCAAAGTTAAAAAAATTAAAGACTATAATAATGAAAAATGAAGAAGAATATTTTGAAATAATTAAAAATGATGAAAAACTTGCTGTAATTACACATTATAATTGAAAGGCTAAAAGTAAATATTCAAAGTTAAATTTTGAGGTAATGTTAAAAATTCACAGATGTATTGAAATGATGAAGAGACTATGTAACCTGTACATTCATAGGTCCTTTGGAAAAGGCTTTTGACAGTTTCTCCCAGAGTTGTATGAGTTTTCATAATAACTTTGATACAGTAGATAATGACAAGTAAGTACTCTTATTCTTTTTTATAATGTAGATAACAGAAGTTGCTGATATGGATAACATGCCTTGTGTGCTTGTTCTTAAACCCTTTTTGATGCACTTGTATCAAAACTTAGCATTGAAATTTGAACAAGCTCACTAAGTATGTTTTGCATGTCAACAACTACTGATAATTCTTTACTTGATAAGAATCTTTCGTAGACAGTGTCAAAATTCATCAGTGCTAATAGCATTAGATATGTACTTGTATTTGACACGTATATTAATTAACACTTTCCTTTTATATTACTTGTTGATACAAAAATTAGGGAGATGATTTCATATGGACCACTTATGGAAGTTTCAACTTAGTAGCTTGTATGTATTTTTACTTATGTACAGCTTAACTCTAAAAGAAAATTATCATTAAAATATCTTCTTCCTAATCGTTGTTGGGGACACTGACCATATTTGCTGTCATAATTAATTTTATTATGATTGTATTTCAGACAGAGTAATGAAAGACACTGAGGGAAAATTAATGACTTTTCCATAGACATACACACACATAGCATGAAAACTATCATCTGCTCTCTCTTACAAACAAAAAAGTGCTCCTTTTCTTATGTTTGTCTTGTAGTGTTTATTGTGCATGCCTTTAATAAAAAATATATTAGAAAGTGGTACACTTATCTTTCTAAACAAACAGCATCAAATTCTTAAGTGTAACTGACCAAGTTAAATTCAAAGTTCTGTGGTAGCAGAGTCATCACATGATTTAGTTTCACTGATCAGCAAGCAACTAGTATTGAATTGGTATGCATTGTAAGCTGTCACTGTTAATGTAGTGAAGAAAAAAGCCAAGAGCTGTAGACATTCCATGTAAGTTGCTGACCTCTAGTTGTAAGACATTTGTCATCTTAAAGACATAATTTATTTTTAAGTTTTGTTTTGTGTTTGCTGTAAGAAACTTATACTTCTCATTAGTGACCCATTTGGGCATAGATAGGTGATAGTGTTAAATTTTCATTGTATGTGACCATATTTTTTCATACATGTCAATCTGTCAATGGAATGGTGAGAATGGCACTTTCACATTTCAAAACTTTCAAACATTTAAAAATAAATTTGTATTTAGTGATATTCTTTCATTATTTAATAGTTATTAACTTTATAAAACTAAACTAGTAATACTTTGGTTGTAGCTCTAAGGTATGGAATGTATGAATAAGTTTTGATGCCTTCCGTTGTCTTTCAGCATAATTAATAATATTGTCTATTTAGCTAGTACATTGAAGTTGTATTTTGCATTGATGAACTATGTGTATGTGTGAAGTATGATTCAAATATGTTATATTTATTTATGTATGTTTATAATGCTGAGTGGGTTGAGTTGCTGACTGCTACTGATTTGGTCTTTTCGAAGATGAACTATTTTATACCATAATGATAGTTTTATTAGATACTCACACATGAAATACATTATCTGAAGTATCATGTTTTCATGTTTAAGGTTTATTACCTTATTTTACATTACAGACTTTTTCCAATGTTGTTACATCCACATCATCACTTATTCTTTACAAACTTTGTTGTTTGTGTAATGTTCATTTATCATGAACGATTGTGGTTCATAGTAGGGTTCACCCAAGAATTGTACAAAAGTCCTAATAGAACATAGGGACAAAGACCATCTTAAAAGCAGACTTGTTCATAAAACAATGTTCAAGATCCTCTATCTCAGTAGGTTAGGCTACTAAAATATTGATAAGAGAAAAAAGTTGATTTTCCAATTGTTAGACAAAATTCAAAATTAATCCATTTGTTCTTTATATTATTATTACTACTATTCATATTATTCGTTTTCACAAGCCTATAGAAAAATTGGCTATGAATATTATATTGAAACTTAGTAAAAAACTGCTGCATAGGTCATATGACTATTTTTATGTTGATTCTTGAAAAAGAAGAGGAGATTTTATCAGTTTTTTCATTTCTACAGGCCAAGTTTATTTTCAAAGTCATTCAAGCACCAAAGCCTACAGCAAAAATGGCTATGTATACTGCACTAAAATCTATTTACTGCTACTAAACAAACTCCTGCAAAGGCTGTAGACCTATTTTTAAGTTGATTTTTGAAAGTCGAGATTTCCACCCCAACATAAGCCCTTCGAAGCCATGTAAGCACTGTATACCAGTCAGAAATGGTTCATTTTATTAAGATAAACAATGTATATATTTATAACCATATCTCCAGCCGTATTATTGTCAAGGGTGAATACAAGCCAGGTTTGCTGACCCCCATCCCCACCCACCTCCATTGGATCTTTGAGGAGGGAAGAATGTAGTGAAATTTCATATTAAATTCAACAAAAATGAAAAAAGAAATAACAACAACATCTAGCAAACATTATAACAAATCTAAATAACCCATTTAACCCTTACCAGGGAAGTCCCGAAAATTCCTCATTAACGTTCAGAATCATTGCACCTCCCCATTTTCAAAATCCTGGATCTGCCACTGATTATTTATTATAGTTTTACAAGCCACTACAAAAAAACCAGCTACAAATATTTTACTGAAACCTGGACAATAGTAATGAATGCAGTATTGAGTATGTCATAGGGTAGTTTTAAAATTAATTCAAGTGCCTTCATTTTTCATCCTAAAGAAAATCTCTTAGTTCTTCACTTTCCACCATGGAAAAAAATGCATTGTTTTACTAATACACATTAATTGGAAAATAATTTGTACAACTTATAGTGCATTAATTTGAAACTGCACATTGAGGATTCATCATTTCTCAAGTTTGCTGATCTTCATTGTTTCTTGAGTTCGCTGTTCTTTATGTGGTTTTCTGTGACTATTTCAGTGAGTTTTCTAACAGTAGATTTTTCTACTCTTGTGAGTGGTGATTTTTCTACTGAGTTTCATACTTTGCTTGTTAAACGCGTGTTTACACGAAACCTCATTCACAAAAAACCACCTGACTCTGTAAATAATAGTTAGGTGCAAAAAGTCAATGCAGCAGTAAACTGTTGAAAAACATGTAACATTTAACTGAATTTAAAGTTTATTCTCCATAAATGGACATAAAAAAACTTAAAAAAAATAATTAAAATTTGTTCATTTAAAAAAGGAAATAGGGATCATCAAAAAGTACAGAAACAAGTTGAATCAATATGCAAAGATTATATTTTCAAACCTACAACTAGAGATTCTAAAAAAAGTAAACAAACTAAGCTGGAAATAGTGTCTACATTATTTTCTCAAGTTACAAATCCCTATTTTGACTCCACTAAAATTAACAGCTTTTAATTATCTTGTTATATATTCTCTGTTGAGTATATTTTCAGTATTTCACTTACAACATTTGATGTTTTCACACTTTCTTTCATTAATTTTAATTCATCTTGTGTTCACTTACATTTTTTAAAGTATTATTATTCTTTTCACTGCTTGTCACAAATTTCGTATGAAAGAAAACAATGTCTCCCTTTATTCTTTCTCTGCTGTTCTCTTCTCTGTTGCTCAGTTTTGGTTGATGTAAAATCATAGTTGTAACAAGCAGGAAACATTTTTATTGTAGTAGAAAATGCTTTGTTTGCTTATAATGATCTTCTTGATGGAGACTTTTTTTGATAAATATGTTTGTCAGATGTGAAGGGACTTGGATAGAACATATTCTTCTGCTTAGACTTTATTTTATGTAGAATGTAGTCTGAGGGTCCTGTGAAATACTTGATTTTTTTCTTTGTTGTTGTTGTTCATGTTGTCTTACCCTAGTTCTTTTGTTTTGTTTTGAACTAATTATCTGTATTGTTATCTTACATTGTCAGTCATTTACCATTTTTTTTATTTGTTTGTTTGGGGGACATACTTGCTCATGATACTTTGTCATATGCACGATTAACGAGCTTATAAAGTTTCTCATCTAGAATGGTTCTTGTTATCTGTATGATCTTTTATGCTTTTTCTGACAATCTGTGAATTATCATGAAGCTTCTGACAAGCTTTCTGTTTCCCATCCTCTCTGATACTTTCTTTCCCTGTAACTATATTCCTCAGTATAGTTGTTATCTGTCTTTACTGTATGACCTCCTCTCCCATATAGAAGCTTGGTTGTTGAGCCATGGCAGTGCCAAACTTCCTTTTCTGTCATAATTTATACAAAACTCTAAAGATCTTTTATGTGTTTTTGTACAAATACCTTGTCATATACCTTGTTTGTTCTTCAGTTTACTGCTATAATATACTGTTCATTATCATTCTCTAACCATTAGATTGTTTATTCCCATATTTTGTTGTATTAATGAAGAGAAGCATTTTTGACTGTGTGACAAATGTCTTAGAGAGAAAATCATTATTTTATTCTTTCACATGATCTGTTTCAATTTCTGGGCTGATACATCTCTTTTGTCCTGATTTCTAAAAGTTTGATCTTTCTATCAGTACAACTCTCCATTAATGTTTCATTCAATTTTTTTTCTCTTTGTTGCTCAGATGAACTTTCAAAAGAATGTTCTGAAATGAATACCCACCTACACACAGAATGGCTATTTTCCTCAGCTCTTCCATGCTTTCTGCCAGAGATTTGAAAGTTATCGGCCTTGTGAAAATTCCCACCTAATCTCACTTGAAACCACAGGAATTTACACTAGTGCATGACAATGTCATCATGCAACAAAACCTTCTGCCAATAGGAGTGTGACACACCTCCATATGCAATTATTCTCCCTACATGAAACTTTATTCTTCTCCTCAGCACTGTATTTACCAGAGATGTTTACATTTCTCATCTATGTCCAATTTAATGAGATTTGCATCATTAATAATAATTTCATTTTCTTACATTTTTACTTCAAAAGCTTTAATATTTTATCATGACTTCTCAAATGATGGTGATTTATAATCAGTCCTGAGTGTGGGACATTGTTCACACATAGGCCTCATTTTTCTGTGGCTTTTGGAGGCCAATTAACTGTCAGGGTCATAGCAGCCATTGTTCAATATGTTGTGAATT